CATTTTCTATGTGCACAGGAGAGAAGAATATTCAGGTAAATGATTGTTTATATTTCCAATGCCAGCTTCAAAATAGCACTTGATAAAATCTTCTGAATAGGGATTGAATATTGAGTCACTTACTGACACTTTGTTATGTTAATCATCACCATCAAATAATAAACTATTTGTTAGTCACTCCGTTGTACATGCTGCTATGTGGGTCTTTATTTCGTAACAATGCACTTCACCCTAGGTACAAGGATGCTTTTTCTAAAAAAATGGGAAAATTGGGTCTTTGGAACAGGCTTTCTCTCCTTCTCATCTATCTTAGACCTGCCTGATTGCTTTGGTTCCTGGATTTGGCAGTGGGGAGGGAGCAAAGAGAGTGACTCCCCTGCTGTAGGTTTTTCCTACTGTCATCAGGGAACAGACTTTCCTTTTTAATCATTAATAACAACATGGCGGAATTTCTCTATTGTTCGCTTGTCATTTTTAAGCTCTCCATTGCTGTCAGCCTGGCAGCCAAAAACCACCTCCCAACAACCCCAGAAACCACTGCTCTGGCTTGGGATCAATGAGCAGCAGTGTTTCTGAGCTGACAACTTTAGGCGGAAGAGATGTCAGGTTTACAACCCTACCTGCTTTGGCCTCCTCAACTGTGAAAAGTTACAAGAGTCTGTTTCCTTTTAATATCTAAGCCCCAAACTACAACAGAAGAAAAGATTTCTATTTCCTGCCTCCTACGTATGTAGTTGCAAAACTGTCTTTTTGACAGGTTATTAAAATCTTTAAAATTGAGATGTGGGTTTTGGGCTTTTTTTTTTAAGCCCTCACATGAATGGTTTTAGAGTACCTTGAAAGGCGAGGTACTATTTAGCTTTCTGAGGACGGTATTCAGTTGCCGTAGCTCTGGCCTTGTTATCCCAGGATGCCATGGGCCCTGGACAGAAACCCCAGAGAACGCTCTGGCTGTTAGTTAGCAAGGTGTTACAGCAATAAGAAATCTTTTTTTGGAATAAAGTTGATATACAATATTATATTGATTTCAGATGTACAACATAGTGACTTGGTAATTATATACATTATTAGATGCTTGCCACACTAAGTGTAGTTACCCCATTATCATACCAAGATATTACAATATTATTAGTTATATCCATTCCTATGACTAACTAATTTTAAGTAACTAACTATGGGGCTTAAAAATACCTTTTGTATGGTTCTGCTCAAGGCTGACAGATCATTTGTTGTTTTATATTGTACAGCTGATTTGACTTGGTTCTTGGTAAAGAATTCTCTCCCTTAAAGAAACTGATATGAACAATGAACTGAAACAGGGCAAGAATCCCAACTGTGTAAATACAGTGCTGTGGCCAGGATGGTTTAAAGTCCATGCATATAAATCAGTCAAAATGATGAAAAATTGTATAAATAGAATATTGGATGCAATTCCTTACTTGCCTTACTGAGACAGTCTTTTTTATGAAAATGCTTTTCTTTATTATGTTAGTTTTCTTTTCCTTATCCCATAGGTAAACATTTCACAACATACTAGGCATTTCTAGGAAACAAGACAAATTCCCAAATGGAATTAGGACACTAAAGAGAACTGAAAGTGGTTTTAAGAAATCTTTAGGACCACGTAATTATTGCAATTTTAGACAGAAAAAAAATTAGTGCCAGGGAGTGACTGATGGATGTGCCCCTGATCTGACATCTTGGCAACCTTTACTGGCGGGCTTTCAACAAGGGCTGATGAGTAGCCATTTTCACTTGCGACCCTGACAGCTGAGACTTGCCTTTCCAGGGCCCACGCTCTGTGCACCGGAGTCATTCAGGCCAAGGCCTCCCTGAGGGAGTATCATGATGAAGGGTGGGAGTCCCAGAATCGACTCCACGTTAGGTCCTGTTTCGTGAGGCATTTATTTCCTTTTTCATTTATGTCTTTTCCCTGAAGTAGCCAACCTTTTTCCCCTTCTGTAAAATGGAAATAACAACTTCCACCTCATGTGATTGTTTTGAGAAAGAAAGATGTTCGAGTGAGTGATGTAACTGGCACAGTTTATTGCCAAAGGGAAGGGATAAACAAATGACAGCTAAAAATGACAAAAATTTGAAAGTAACGTAATCTAGATGTGATTAAACAATTTAACTAAATAATCTGCTTTAGATTTCCTGCATGTGATAGACACATACCCATTTACAAATTTTTAATATAGTTGCAGTAGGTTCTAATATATGAATTTATTCTTATTTCATATACCTAAACCTATGATCCCTTGATTAATACAGAAGATTATGCAAAATTATATTCTATTATCAGAGACCGTATCTCCTTTTCTTCTTTAAAAATGGAACTACAGGACCCAGGAAAAGCTTAAAAATACACTGAGCCCTATTTACTTACTCCTGCATATCTTCCTTTCTAAGGAACAAACAAGTGTCCACCCTCATCGTGTCCATCATGGCCTGTTCTCAGCTCTGAATTATAAGATCCTTTTCCAGTAAGGTTGACCTTTGTCCTCCCTTTCCTTCTGCTAACCAAATCTGGTCTAATACCTCACTGATGATTTGTAAATTGTATTAAGTCTCTGGGATTTAAAACTGCTCACTCTTTGAGGACTCTCTTGACATCAAGACTGAGTTAGATCTAAAGTAAATGAAATTTGTCAGTAGTGGTTCTGTTTTTAAACTCCTTTGGATATTTTATTTCTCCAGAAAAGTATTATTTGGGTCACTGTCATTACATTTCACTCTACATTCAAATTCTCTTACCAATAGTTAACGAAGTGTACAATGTGCAGACTACTGAGAAGTGAAATATTATTCATTAATAATATAATTAAGCTAATCTTATTTCATCCAGCTGGTTTTAGAAGGTAAACAGAGGTTAGTTTAAGTTTGTATTCCCTCAACATTTATGTGGGACTCACATGTAGGCAGACTTCTATTTTGGTGGCTGTGGGAAATCACCAAAAATGTGGAAAAAATGACCCCTGCACACTGACTCATGTAAATTAAAAAGGGTGGGGACTTTCAAGAGATCTTATTGTTCAGGTTCCCTATTTCTAGGTAGGTCTATAGTTGTGCTAGCATATAAGCAATTAGCTCAGTTTTCTCCTGTTTGTAGATTGGGGGATGCCAGTGTTCAATACCCACATACAAGTGTTCTGGAGTGAATGAAAGAGAGAGAGAGAGAGAGAGAGAGAGAGAGAGAGAGAGAGAGAGAGAGAGAGAGAGAGAGAGAGAGTGTGTGTGTGTGTGTGTGTGTGTGTAGCATCGATATGGCATTAGAATGCCCTGTGCAGATGTGCCTTGAATCAGGTGGTAAACACCACCTTAGGGAATTAAAGGTTTGTTTTACAACAATTGACGTATGTGGAGAAATGTGTCAGCTGGGGAGAAGGATTCGGTCTCGGGTCACCTCCTTCATGGCCCCAGCCTGGCTCCAGGGGCAGGGCCAGTGGCATGTTCTTCCTGTGCCTCAGGCCTGAGAATGGAGGGGGACCCTCCCCACAAACAAGCCAGACCTCCATAATGAAATGTGACAGTGTTCCCCCTAGGGGGAGGCCCCTGGGAGCCGGCCAGAGAGGGCTGGTAGTTGGGCAAGGATTTGCATAATTACATTCACCTGAGGGACTCCATTTACCCAACAATGGCTTTCATTGTCGTAAAGCCAGCAGCTGGCCATCCTGTTAGAACAATCTGAGCTGTGGCCTTGTTCGTCCAAGTAAAGGCTTGTACTCTTAAAAATGACAACTGGCATTTTGAGTGCAGTCTAGTTAATAGTACAAATGTTGGCATGATGTGTAACGCTCCATGAGGCATGAATTTATATGTAACACATGTATTCGTACTACTGCAGTACTGTATACTTCTAATACCACATGTATATATGTGCTACCTCTGCTCTATATGGCTTCATATATTTAGGTTTATTAAATGTGTTCAAGTGTCCGTGAACAGAGGGAGATGGCCGTTGAAATGTAAGTTTCCTCCTGATGTTTGGGAAAGAATGACGTATGAAGAAATAAAGGCTTTTCCTGTGTAAGGCACATCCTGTTTTAAATTCCAGCACAGTATCTTTTGTTCTTTGACTCCAAAAGCTTGCAAGGGATTTAAGCGATGTGAATCAGAGCTCACAGAGGCTCTCGGTGAAGAGGCTGCGGGGCTCAGCAGGCTGGGGGCATGTTTACCTAAGACTCCAAATAGACAGAGAAGAGATAGGAGGACAGCACAAATACTGTGCCTGGCTCCTTTCCTGGTATTGCCCACATTTACATGAAAAAGGGAGGTGCAGGAGGTGGAGGCCCGGTAGGTTTCCAGGCTATTCCTTTTAGTATTAAAGTATATTCCTTTTAGCTCTGTAATTGTTACATTTTGTCCCTCAAATTTAGAGCACAGAACACATATCTAGGGGGAGAAAAACCCTAAGGGGGTTTTGCCTCTTCTCAGCTTTCAGTAAGTACACACTTTAAATATCATTGGTAAGCATGGAAGCATTCACATTTCTTCTCAGTGTTTTTCTAGAAAGTAGGATGTATTGGAGCACTTCACTGGAGAAGGAGCCAGGCTCTTCTTTTGATACTAAAGCTATGTCTGGTGTGGGTAAAATTGTAACATTTCCAGAATTTCTCGCCCGGCTTTAGTATATCTGCATATCAATAGGCGTTCAGAGGTGGAAAGAAGTATGGCTTTAGTGTATTTGCATCTTTCCTCAGGGGTGGAGAAGTCATCTCCATATTAATGGCTGATTACCTGGGCAACCAGGGCTTATCTGTACCTGAGAGGTGAGGGGGAGGGCCAGGGTGGATGCTGCTGGAGCAGAGAAGACAGACTGGGACTGCAGTTTGTGAGAAATAAATGGGTTTTAAACTTTATTTCTCCCTTTGACTGATTATGGTTTTTGGAGGTATTTTGCTCCGGGATTTCCTTTCCCAGGACTGACATCTAGTCTAATGCAAAAAAGGAGTATTTACTTGAGCAATTTCCTGACCTTCTGATAAGATATAGAAGCTAGAAGCTAGCAGGATTCCAAAGCCAGGAGTCAAACAGTAGGTCCACGTGGCCTTGGCTCTGTGTCTTCCAGAGATGGCCTGGAAGACAGACACACTGGGTGTTATTTTCCTTCAACAACAGGCAAAAGGAATTACAAGCAAAAGACGTGCTGCTAACATGGTGAATGCTCACCTTGAGGGAGAGAGATGGCAACACAAAACGGCAGGACAGAAGACAGGCATGCTGACCGGTACACACGCAGGGAGCCTCAGGAGGGCCCAGAGATGGGGCCGCCCTCGGTTCGCTGGCCGAGCCTCCCACTCCTCTGCCTAGGTGAGCTTTCCAGCAGCAAAAATACAGTTCCTGGGAACTCTCCTCATCCCCAGAGCCTATAGCAGTGCTCCCTAAGCCCAGTGAGCTGTCAGGACCTCACCCCAGGCGTGACTCCACCACAAACCTTCAGGAACAGAAACTCAGGAGCAGACAGACACAGCAAGAAAACCTGTGTTTATATTTTACTTTTCAAGGCCTCCAGTTTAGGAATCAGAGAAATAACCACAGCCATGTGTAGGAACTCAAGCTCCCAAGATATCCATTTCCCAAGGAATTTCATTTCCCTCCTAAATGCCTTTGAGGATTCCTGGGTTAAAGGGAAGGAGATTCTGAGATCTTTCCCTGTGTTTTTGTTTTTTCCCATTACCCCAACCCAGACCTCCTGAGCTCAAGCTTTTCCTTGATCAGTTTGGCGTCTACCTGGCCTTTCTTTCTTTATTAACCCTCTTCCTTCTTGCTCCAGGGTATCACACCAGAGGCGACACTACTGGTGGTTAATAAACCCTGACTAATGACTTGGGGAAGACTAAAGACAGATGCAAAATAAGAAACAAGATCATATTCGACATCAGACACCACAGTTCCTAAAATGACTTAGCCCTCCCTGCCATTAAAGGAGTAACGGATGGTTCTCACTGTCCTTACGCTCTGACCTTATCCACGCCCTGCCCTATAGGGCCTCCTTTCCATCTTCTCTACCCTCCCCTTTCCCAGATTCAAGTCCCTTCCTGCTTCAAACTGAATGTTTGTATTCCCCCAAATTCATGTGGAAGCCCTAACCTGTAATGTGATGAATATGTACTTGGAGACGGGGCCTGTCGGAGGTGGTCAGGCTTAAGTGAGGTCATGACATGGAGTCCCAGGATGGAATTAGTGCCCTCATAGGGAGAGACTAGGGTTCCGTCTCTCTAGTGTGTGGAGATACAGCAAGAAGGTGGCTGTCTGGCCAATGGGTTTCGGCCCTGGGCAAGTTCACTACGGATTTAATGTGACCAAAGAAATGATGGTAAAACGGTCTTGGGCTGAAAGCGTTATACCCAATTTTATTTCCACAGTGGCAGGTCAGTCACTAAAATCCCATCTACTCAGAGCGAGTCTGCACGCAGCAAGCTGGTCGCTGCCTCTGGACCTCTTGGTCCGCACAGCCATCCTCTGGGCCTCTGTCCTCATGCTGCCCCCACTCCGGTCTCTGCTCTGCTCTCCTGCAGCCCTGTAGCCATGCCACCGTGTCGCCCAGAGCACTGGGCAGAGCTCTTTATATATATATAGAGTCAATAGTAATGTATTGCCCACATGTATGTACTGAGCTAGCCAACCCGGGCCAGGTGAGAATCCTGGCCACAGGAACCTTCACTTTATCCACTGTGCCTGTCTACAAACAAGGAAGAGGGCCCTCCCGGAAACTGACTCTGTGACACCTTGATTTTAAACTTCCTGGCCTCCACAGCTATGAGAAATGAATGTTGTTCAAGCTATCCAGTTCATGGTAATTTACTATAGCAGCCCAAGCTGATAACACACTTCCCCTCCTCACCAACCCCCCAAAATCATCTACTGAGGGTCTTCCAGGCCCAAATTGGACACGTTTTCTTCTGTAAGGCTTACCAAGTCCTTTGCCCTTTTTGCATCAGACACTCCCTTCCAGCCACACTCCTGGGTCTGGTATTTCAAAAACAGTATCAGTCAGTGTGTGTCCCCAAAAGAAAAGAAAGAGGAGTGTTCTCCAAGGATAAATTCTGTAATTTTCCCTACACTGCCAGATTTTTTAAATTGCAATTATCTCCCTTGCTGGAGTCTAAATAGTACTCCAGGTGATTCTGATGGAGCCGGTCCCTGAGCATGTCTGGGAGCCATGCCTTCCCTTCTGTGGAGGTCCATCCGAGAGACCTGACCATCTTGGGGGTTCCTGCTTACCCCAAGAGTATCTCTAACTTTCTGTAACTCCACCCAAAACAGTTTTTTGTTGTCACAGTGGTAAGTATGAATGCACTCATGGCATGGTGATGGGACGTGCGGGTGGTCACTTCAGATCCCCTACTAGTCCAAGAGTACCTCGAGGGTAAGTCTTGCTCATTATGGTGTCATTGGCAACCAATGTGCTTGACATAGAGTGGCGTGTTGTGTGTCCACTGAATGAAGAAATATGTGGAATAAGTATTGGTTGGATAGGCAATTAGGGAGTCGCTGGTGACTGTGGCCACTCCAGAAGAATACTCACTGGGGACCAGCTGAATCTGGGGCTTCTGCTTGTGGGGGTGCGGACTGAGCTCTGTGCACACGTGCTTGACTGATGGAGATGGCATGGTGGGACCTTACGCACAGCCCACTTTCCTGGCCCCACTCTCCAGCACGTGTGCCCCAGCCCAGTAGAAGGATGCGTTTGCTGCTGATCCACCCGACGGGCCACATCTTTGCAGTTTGTTAGCTAGAGGAGGCCCTTCGTGGTCACTCAGAGCACTGTGTATGCTAGGAGAGTCCCTACTGCTCCGTCGCTCCCACCTCCTGGGACTGGAGTCCATGGTTGGAACCCTACTGAGTCATTTCACCCCTACTCTCTGTGAAGGGGGAAATCCTATCGCAAAGTTAAATGAAGTACTTTAGGAGGGCCATCACTGCCACGTATTTGGAAAATGTTCAAAAAGCCCAAGATGTTTCCACAGGCACCTCAGACTCAACAGTGCAGAACAGAAGTCACTGGCTCCCCCAGGCAGACGTGCCCTTCCTGCACTTCTTCAACAGCACCTCCGACTGCCAGGCCAGAAGCCCTCCTGCGGCCACTCCTCCAGGCTCCCGTGGGTCCTCCCGGGTTCCCCTCAGACATCTAAGTCTGATCTTCTCCCCTCCATTCTTCACCACTGCCCTGCCTCAGTCCATCATCCTCTCTCGACTACACTGTTACTTGCTCCTTATCATCTCCGGTTACGTCTGCTCTTTCCTCACAAGTCCACCCTCCACAAGTTCATCCTCCAGAGGGTTTCAGAAAAGAAGATGGTTAATGTTGTGGAAATCTGTTACCTTTCTATAAACAGGATCCATTCTCCTGCAACTCTTGCATGCCCTCACCTTTACTCCCAGCCCTCTCTAACTTATTTTACAAGTCCATTCACCTCTGTGCCCAGCTACCATTCTTCCCGTGTCCAGCTGCTCTGCATTGTGCAACAGCCAGTTTCCTGAGGGTGCCAGGCTCCCTCAAGCGTCTTTGGCTTTGCGTGTGCTGTTTGCTAAGCCTGTGCCTTCTCCCTTGTCTGTGGGTCCATCTCCCGCTAAGTCTGAATTGCCCTCCAAGTTCCCTGTCCCTTCTTATAACTTACTTTCCTCTATGGTAGTACTTCATGTTCACATGAAATCATTTTTTAATCTCCCCCACAGGGCCTTGCCTTCCTCAAAGTGACGTGTCATTCATTTTTCTTTCCCCAGCGTTTGTCAAAGTGTCTAGTGTTATTTTGTGCAGAGCGAATGTTTGTTGACATGAAAGTCTATCAGCAACTCTACCATGGAATGACATGTAACTACTAAACATGAGCCCCATATATGATTATAATTTCAGAGTGATGTATGCCACAACCCTATTTTTCATAAAAGGTGGACAAAAATAACTCTATTTGTTTTTGCCTATCTGAACATAGCAAGTGGATTCTTTCAGACAGTCGGAGGTGCTATTGAAGGAAGTGCAGGAAGGACACGTCTGCCTGGAGGAGCCAGTGACTTCTGCTCTGCACTGTTGAGTCTGAGGTGCCTGTGGAAATGTCTCAGGCTCTTTGAACATTTCCCAACATAGCAAGAAATCCTAAGTGAGACCCTTGATTAATGCAGTGAGATTAGAGGAAGGAGGGGAAGGGGGATCTTTATAGGTCTGTTGTTTGAATTGTCACTAAGAGCTTGTATTGCTTTTGTAAAATGAATGAAGAAAAATGAAGTAAATGGTTGGAGCGTAAGGAAGAGGGCTTTAGGAGAGACGTTTTCAGAAGATTGTTACTGTTGTGCAAACCTTAAGAAACTCTGAAAAAGAAAATCAAAATCTCTAGAACATATAATAAGGGTATTATTATTCACTTTGTAAAGGATTTTTCTCTCCTGAAAGAATCTCCACAGGCTTCCTTTTTGAAAAGGCAATTCCATTAAAGCACTTAATTCATTTGTTAACAGTTCATTAACTGCAGGGCTTGACAGGGGTGGGGCGGGAAAGAAAATTTTTCGGAGTGGTGCCAATTTAAGATCAATCAGAAATGAAGATAAGCTCCATTGATATAATTATCAGGGAAATTATTACATTGAAAAAATTCAAAGTTCACACCGTTTTTTCTGAAGAAAGGGCATCCAGTGGTTCAGGGAGAAGGGAAGGCCCCTAACTTCCTGGGGTGGGACTGATGTGCGAGGCGACAGCCCTGACAGTAGTGTGACCATCGGCAGATACTGTCTCGAGTCCTGCATCTTAGTGAGAAAGCAAATCGTTTCCAGATGTCTGCACTTGGTCAGAGAAGAGAGGTGGGTGGTAGTGGGCAGAGAAGATATCTTTTTTTTAAAAATAAAAGAATAAAAATTACTACGGTGAAGTAGACCTGGCAGTTACCGTGAAAATAGAAGAAACACTAAGAACATGGCATCATGAGAATGATGTGGGCCTATCTTATACTTTAGTCACTGAAGCAGAGGACGATGAGAGCTACTGGTTCCTTTTTAGTATTTGCTAAAACAAAAGAATTAACCGGGCTTGCATTATTGACTTAGCACATACATGGCACTGAGAGGCAATTTTACAAAGCAG